ACATTTCTCCATAGTGGCTGTATCAATTTACATTCCCACCAACAGTGCAAGAGGGCTCCCTTTTCCCCACACCCTCTCCAGCATTTATTGTTTGTAGATTTTCGATGATGGCCATTTGACCGGTGTGAGGTTGATACCTCATTGTGGTTTTGATTTACATTTCTCTAATGATTAGTGATGTTGAGCATCCTTTCATGTGTTTGTTGGCAATCTGTATATCTTCTTTGGAGAAATGTATATTTAGGTCTTCTGCTCATTTTTGGATTTTTTTTTGTTTTTTTGATATTGAGCTGCATGAGCTGCTTGTATATTTTGGAGATTAATCCTTTGCCGATTGCTTCATCTGCAAATATTTTCTCCCATTCTGAGGGTTGTCTTTTCGTCTTGGTTATGGTTTCCTTTGCTGTGCAAAAGCTTTTAAGTTTCATTAGGTCTCATTTGTTTATTTTTGTTTTTATTTCCATTTCTCTAGGAGGTGGGTTAAAAAGGATCTTGCTGTGATTTATGTCATAGAGTGTTTTGCCTGTGCTTTCCTCTAAGAGTTTTAAAGTGTCTGGCTTTACATTTGGGTCTGTAATCCATTTGGAGTTTATTTTTGTGTATGGTGTTAGGGAGTGCTCTAATTTCATTCTTTTACAGGTAGCTGTCTAGTTTTCCCAACACCACTTGTTGAAGAGACTGTTTTTTCTCCATTGTATATTCTTGTCTCCTTTATCAAAGATAAAGTGACCATATGTGCGTGGGTTTATCTCTGGGATTTCTATCCTGATCCATTGATCTATATTTTTGTTTTTGTGCCAGTACCATACTGTCTTGATGACTGTAGCTTTGTAGTATAGTCTGAAGTCTAGGAGCCTGATTCCTCCAGCTCCATTTTTCTTTCTCAAGATTGCTTTGGCTATTTGGGGTCTTGTGTGTTTCCATCCAAATTGTGAACGTTTTTGTTATAGTTCTGTGAAAAATGCCATTTGTAGTTTGATAGGGATTGCATTGAATCTGTAGATTGCTTTGGGTAGTATAGTCATTTTCACAATGTTGATTCTTCCAATCCAAGAACATGGTATATCTCTCCATCTGTTTGTATCATCTTTAATTTCTTTCATCAGTGTCTTATAGTTTTCTGCAAACAGGTCTTTTTTCTCCTTAGGTAGGTTTATTCCTAGGTATTTTACTCTTTTTGTTGCAATAGTAAATGGGAGTATTTCCTTAATTTCTCTTTCAGATTTTTCAGCATTAGTGTATAGGAATGCAAGAGATTTCTGTGCGTTAATTTTGTATCCTGCTACTTTACCAAATACATTGATTAGCTCTGGTAGTTTTCTGGTAGCATCTTTAGGATTCTTTATGTATAGTATCATGTCACTGCAAACAGTGAAGAAGTTTTACTTCTTCTTTTCCAATTTGGATTCCTTTTATTTCTTTTTCTTCTCTGATTGGTGTGGCTACAACTTCCAAAACTATGTTGAATAATAGGGGTGGGAGTGGGCAACCTTGTCTTGTTCCTGATTTTAGTGGAAATGGTTTCAATTTTTCACCATTGAGAATGATGTTGGCTGTGGGTTTCTCATATATAGCCTTTATTATGAGGAGGTAAGTTCCCTCTACACCTGCTTTCTGGAGGGTTTTTATCATAAATGGGTGTTGAATTTTGTCAAAAGCTTTTTCTGCATCTATTGAGATGATCATATGGTTTTTCTCCTTCAATTTTTTAATATATATCACACTGATTAATTTGCATATATTGAAGAATCCTTGCATTCCTGGGATAAACCCTACTTGGTCATGGTGTATGATCCTTTTATGTGCTGTTGGATTTGTTTGCTAGTACTTTGTTGAGGATTTTTGCATCTATGTTCATCAGTGATATTGGCCTGTAGTTTTCTTTTTTGGGGACATCTTTGTCTTGTTTTGGTATCAGGTTGATGTTTGCCTTGTAGAATGAGTGTGGGAGTGTTCCTCCCTTTGCTGTATTTTGGAAGAGTTTGAGAGGGGTAGGTGTTAGCTTTTCTCTAAATGTTTGTTAGAATTTGCCTGTGAAACCATCTGGTCCTGGGCTTTTGTTTGTTGGGAGATTTTAATCACAGTTTCAATTTCAGTGCTTGTGATTGGTCTGTTTATATTTTCTATTTGTTCCTGGTTCAGTTTCAGAAGGTTGTGTTTCTAAGAATTTGTCCATTTCTTCCAGAAATTGTCCATTTTATTGGCATATAGTTGCTTGTGTTTTTTCTGATTATCCTTTGTATTTTCTTCAGTGTCAGTTGTTACTTCTCCTTTTACATTTCTAATTCTATTGATTTGAGTCTTCTCCCTTTTTTTCTTGATGAGTCTGGCTAATGGTTTATCAATTTTGTTTATCTTCTCAAAGAACAAGCTTTTAGTTTTATTGATCTTAGCAATTTTTCCTTCATTTCTTTTTCATTTATTTCTGATCTGATCTTTATGATTTCTTTCCTTCTGCTAACTTTGGGTTTGTTTTGTTCTTCTTTCTCTAATTGCTTTAGGATACGGTTAGGTTGTTTACTTGAGATGTTTCTTGTTTCTTGAGGTAGGATTGTATTGCTATAACCTTGCCTCTTAGAACTACTTTTTTTTCACACACACACACTGTATTTTTTTTTTACAAGAGATAAATAAACTGACACCAAGCATTGTAAATGGATGACCACAACAAAATTAGAACTGCTTTTGCTGCCTCCCATAGGTTTTGGGTCATCGTGTTTTCATTGTCATTTATTTCTAGGTATTTTTTGATTTCCTCAGTGATCTCTTGGTTATTTAGTAGTGTATTGTTTAGCCTCCATGTGTTTGTATTTTTTTTCCTGTAATTGATATCTAATCTCATAGTGTTGTGGTCAGAAAAGATACTTGATACGATTTCAGTTTTCTTAAATTTACCAAGGCTTGATTTGTGACCCAAGATATGATCTATCCTGGAGAATATTCCATGAACACTTGAGAAGAAAGTGTATTCTGTTGTTTTTGGATGGAATGTCCTATAAATACCAATTAAGTTCAGGTTGTTTAACATGTCATTTAAAGCTTGTGTTTCCTTATTTATTTTCATTTTGGATGATCTGTCCATTGGTGAAAGTGGGGTGTTAAAGTCCCCTACTATGGTTGTGTTACTGTTGATTTCCCCTTTTATGGCTGTTAGCATTTGCCTTATGTATTGAGGTGCTCCTATGTTGGGTGCATAAATATTTACAACTGTTCTATCTTCTTCTTGGTTTGATCCCTTGATCATTATGTAGTGTCCTTCTTTGTCTCTTGTAATTGTCTTTATTTTAAAGTCTATTTTGTATGATATGAGAATTGCTACTCCAGCTTTCTTTTGATTTCCATTTGCATAGAATATCATTTTCCATCCCCTCACTTTCAGTCTGTATGTGTCCCTATGTCTGAAGTGGGTTTCTTGTAGACAGCATATATATGGGTCTTGTTTTTGTATCCATTCAGCCAATCTATGTCTTTTGGTTGGAGCATTTAATCCATTTACATTTAAAGTAATTATCGATATGTATGCTCCTATTACCATTTTCTTAATTGTTTTGGGTTTGTTTTTGTAGGTCTTTTCCTTCTCTTGTGTTTCCTGCCTAGAGAAATTCCTTTAGCGTTTGTTGTAAAGCTGGTTTGGTGGTGCTGAATTCTCTTAGCTTTTGCTTGTCTGTAAAGGTTTTGATTTCTCTGTCAGATCTGAATGAGGGATCCTTGCTGGGTAGAGTAATCTTGGTTGTAGATTTTTCCCTTTCATCACTTTAAAGATGTCCTGCCGCACCCTTCTGGCTTGCAGAGTTTCTGTTGAAAGATCAGCTGTTAACCTTATGGGGATTCCCTTGTGTGTTATTTGTTGCTTTTTCCCTGCTGCTTTTAATATTTTTTTTTTGTATTTAATTTTTGATAGTTTGATTAATATGTGTCTTGGCATGTTTCTCCTTGGATTTATCCTGTATGGGACTCTCTGTGCTTCCTGGACTTGATTGACTATTTCCTTTCCCATATTAGGGAAGTTTTTAGCTATAATCTCTTCAGATATTTCCTCAGTCCCTTTCTTTTTCTCTTCTTCTTCTGGGACCCCTATAATTTGAATGTCTTGGTTCAAGGACAACTTCTGCGGGATGTTCTTACCCAACCTCTCTGCTACTATAAGTTATTATGGACAACACTGTTCCTTTACACCACTGCCTATGGTTGAAATTTAACTTAAGTTTTCAGTGTTTCAGTCCCACCAGATAGAGATCAAGGGACTCAATTTTGCTCATGATTTTTATCTCTATCACATTAGCCTTATTTACTGAAGAAATCAATAATCAATTGGCTATAGTGTGCACACACATTCTCACCACACAGTGTGGTTGTTCTGATGAATTGAAGACAATTGGGGAAATGGATTTTTGCTCCAGCCCAAGTAATTGAGTTGTAAGTAGCACATGTGTTGTAAGCAGGAAAATAAGAATTTCCTTAAACAAATAAATAGATATCAAATAAATAAAAATATAACAGTGGAAAATATCTGAGGAATTGTATTTCTAGAATACTGCACTGAAGATAGAATTTCAGTTGAATTAGTAGTATCTCTGACTAGGAATTCTTAATTTTTCCTAAGTGGAATTACTTTACTGCCTGTATTAAATAATTGCTGTCTAAAATTAGACCATTATTGACCACTTGTAGTTACCTCCAGCTTTGCCCATCTGAGTCCAGTTTTCTTGATATTTATGAAGAGAGTATTTGGATTTAACAAATCATCTAAACTTAAACAAAAGTATAGAACCAGTGGTATGAGGAAGGTCCTGTCTCATAAGCCGTAATTTCCAAGCTGCAGTGTTAGATGATATAGTACATATCCTAAGTACACCCTTTCTGCACCCAGCTAGTTTCTTCTCACAAGCAATGTTTTCTAAAATAAGGATCTCTTCTCTCTTGGGAATATTAATGCAGTATTTTCCCCAAAGGCCAAGGAAGAGTCAGAGGAAAAGGAGGAACAAAAGGCTGAATTTCAGAAGCAGAAAGAGGTGTTACTATCCTTATTTGATGAGAAACGCCATGAGCATCTCCTTAGTAAAGGTAGGCATTTCTATTCCGAGGATCCTTCCCCTGGAACGTAAGACCGTGAGATCAAAAAGTAAAACCTTACTTGGGGGGAAGAAATGCACACTGATATTTCCACTCATAGGAACAAGGAATTTTTCATTTGTTGTGGAAGTTAAGTATTTTCTATACCAGGTTTCTCTTTTTTTTTTAAGTGACTTAAAATATATTTAATAAACCTTATTTTATAATTCTATAATTTATTTGAAGTATTTCCAATAAGGTATTCATAGATGATACAGGAACTTAGTATTTAGGAAAAGAAAAAAGGTCAAGTCCTTTTGTATGTGGCTGTTTATTGCTTGATTTCTAACCCTGCCTATTTAAAGGTTTTGAGAATTTAAAGTATGTGTATAGATATATATGTATATATATTTAAATTTGTCTTTTAAAATCTAATATTAAAATAATGTTTTAAATGATAGTTTTCCAAATTCAAGCTAAGGGATAAAATATTTAAACGAACATTCACATTCTTTTCTAAAAACATGTGACACAATTATTTAAGGTGATGATTGCCAAGTGAACATGAGTGCCTTAAATTACCTATTAAATTAAAACTTGCTATGTGTCTTGCAGGAGAGAGACGGCTATCATACAAAGCACTTCAGGGGGCCTTGATGATATACTTTTACAGGTAAAAGCAAATCAAAAGAGGAGAATTAAGGCATACAGCATGATAGTTATTTATTTTTGGTTTTCTTTGGCTGCGCCGCACGGCTTGTGGGATCTTAGTTCCCCAACCAGGGATGGAACCTGTACCCCTGGTAGTGAAAGCACTGAGTCCTAACCACTGGACCGCCAGGGAATTCTCAAAAGAGGTGAATTAGAAGTAAAAATGGAGGAGTAGATACAGATAATAAATCCAGTATAAAGCTTATACATTGCAATCATAGTTTTAAAAAAATCATTTAGATTTGGCGGGGGGGGGAAGCTTAGAAAATAATCGTGAAGTTTCATGAGGTTTTTCTTTATTTTAAATAGTAAGAGTCCAATTTTATACCTGTGGTGGGTAAAAAAAACATAAAAATACACACAAATTAATCAATATCCTTTTCATTAAATTCTGCAGAGTGTTATGTACATTAAGTGTCCTAAGGACCCAAAGTTTAATCTGTCTCAGAAACTCAGCCATGAAACGGGTTCTGTCACTTAATGATGTTGTTATTCCTGTTTTGTAAAATGAAATAGAATGAAGTGAAAACACCTTATAACTGTTGTTCTCCTTGTTCAGCAATTTCAAGTCTAACTGTCTTCACCACCCACAGTGTCTGGGGCATCCACGTCCTGTCCTCCTAGCCACGTGGGTGAACGGCCCATCTTTGTGTTTCATAGATTAAATGTGTCAGAGCAATAGATGGCACACTAGTAAAAAGCAAAAAATAAATAAATAAATTAAAAAATCTGTGTTTACTGCATGTCTTACTTACTTGGGTTTATTTTTTAATCCTGTCCCATCTATTTTTCAGAATGGCAGCATAAAAAACCCTTCTGTTTTCCTCAAATGTTAGTAAGCATATGCTATTCAGGCTTATGTATCCTCGGCAGGAAATGCACTGAGAGAGCTGGGGGATTAGATGAAAAAGGAAACAAATATATCAGAGGGAGCTGTAACAAGCAGTCTTTGTTTTCACGTTTTAACATCTTTGCCTGGAAGAAGTTTCTGACTGTTACTGGCTAGAAAATCCGAGATGGTGTCCGTGTCTGCCTTTTATGAGAAGGGGTGTGAGGTGCGACTCTGGCTGGTCAATTCACGTCTATCGAGGAATGTTCTAGACTCTTACACACATGCTGCAACATGAGTGGTGTTAAGCCCTTTTATGAGATGAGGAAACTAAGCCTGGGAGAGAGATCAGAGCTGTCACAGCTCCTAAGAGGCAAGGGGATGTTTGTTTCAGGCCCAACAGATGGTAGAATGTGTCTTCTTCCTGACACACTGGACTTGCCTGAACACTTTTTATTATTATTACTATTATTTACTATTATTATTATTATTCTTTTTCTGCCCCAGGGAAGAGCCCAGGTTCCAGGTCCCTTTCCAGCTGCTGACCTCCCTCATGGACATGGACTCGCTCATGACCAAGTGGAGATGTAAGTCCCCCCGGACCCCCCAGAGCTGCTTCCTCCCTGGCACCCTCCCCTCCCCCACGGCGGTGGGTGCGGGTGGGGCTCCGTCGTAAAAGCAGCCGAGCAGCGGCTCTCAGGGCCGACCCATCCAGGGCGCGGCAGGCGCAGTGCCCAGTGCTCACGGTTCCTCTGTGGGCCCAGGAAGACGCTGTGTTTGATAAACAGAAGAAACAAGCAGGCTTAGGGTCGAAGCAGATTTCGCTTGTAATAGCAATGCACTCCTCTTGGCGTCAGTACAACTTGAAAATATAATTTCAATAGTTCGAGCTCATGGAGGAAGGGCCCCATGAGCACACGAGTAGCGAGGGCTCATGTAAGTCGCAGGGCCTCCGCCCACGGCGTCCGAGGGCTGAGCGTGCGTAAGGATGGACGGACGCCCCGCGCAGCCTGGACCAGGCGGGGCGCCGGGCAACCGCCCCGCACCCTCATCCGCTCACACCTGAGTCTTCCACACGGCTGAGGGATAAGGGGAGGTGATAATCGTTACCGACCCCTTGTCCTTGGCGCACGTGGAGCTAACGCGTGTGTCTGTCTAGACAACCATGTGTGCGTGGTGCACAGAATGCTGGGCAGCAAGGCGGGCACCGGCGGGTCCTCGGGGTACCAGTACCTGCGCTCCACGGTGAGGTAAGCCGGGCATCCCTCCTCATCTCGGGGACCCACCAGCGCCTTTTTCCCCACGGAGATGCGCCTTATCTAGGAAAAGTCACTTATACTCCCTCCTGTCTGGACTGCCGGCAACCCATGTATCCTTAGATTAAGGGACTCCTGTGGGAGCCTTCGGAGGTCACTGCAAACATCCTTAGTTCTGGAAATTCATCATTGCATCCTGGGATGCGAGGGGGCGGGGTACCGATGTCTGCATGACCTGCGAGGGCAGGAACCAGGTAACCCAAGAAGCATTTTCAACTTATTCTGGCTCAGGTCTGGGCTAGACTAAGATGGGTATCATTGATTCCGCCAAAGTCCTCCTGGCCAGATGAATGACACAGCTGAAAATAGGTTCTTGTTTGCTGAGATGACTCTCTTGTATAGGATAAACACTACTCCCATGTGCTCCAGAGACTGCCTTTTTATATTGTTTACAAGGAAAGAAAGCAACATTTACTGAGCACTTCAAACATGCTAGAGAGATTTCTAGGACATTCATGTTCTTACTTTATTTAGTATTCACAGTATTATAGACAGATGGATATACAGATAGACAGACACATCTGAAAACTGGGAAACTTACAGAGCCCCGCGGGAAAGGAGAATCGAGAATAAATTAGATTTAGTCTCCAAAATTCTTTTTTTTTAACTTTATTGAAGTACAGTTGATTTACAATGTTGTGTTAATTTCTGCTGTACAGCAAAGTGACTCCAAAATTCTTTATAATTCACTATTTTCATCCCTACTCTTACTACCTGATTGACTAAGTTATAAAACACAGTGTTTCTATTTTCATCATTTGTAGAGATTTTCAGTTTCCCCGGGAATAAACGCTAGGCTGAATGATTCACAAAAGTTATTGGTTTGAATTTTCACAGTCATTACACATTTTCTCTTTTCCTGGGAATAAATTCTGTAAGCAGCATGAAACTGTAAATGATTGTACAAAACGAGCACAGCCATCAGGGGTGGTGGGAACGGTGAACACAAACAGCCTTCCTGGTGTGTCATTTTCTCATTAGATCTTCACAAAGGCCTGGTTAGAGGAAGGGATTGTAGTTTTTATCTTACAGAGTTAGAAACCAAAACACTGAGCTTTAGACAACTTGCCCAGGGTCACATGAGTTGCAAATGAAAGAGCAAAATTTGAACGCAAATTTGACTTCAAAGACAAACGTTCTTCTGCTATAAAACTGCAAGGTAAAATAGTTCACTAACAAACACATGGCAATTTTAAATGTGAAAATCACTCTTATAGACATTTATTATAAATCTAAGATGGCATTTCAATTTATTAATGCACTCATGTCACTTACTTGGCAGCAACTTAATGGGTGGGAAATATTTTCCGATGAACAGCTAGGAATTCTGTGTGCTTTTGATTTATAATTTTGCATCCTGTCCTTTAAAAGTCAGAAACTAGGACACACCCTTATCTTTGTGAAGGTAGCATGACAATAATAAAGCTCTAGGTTTTAATCTGGACCAGCCTGGTCCAGATCACTGAAACACGTAATATGGTTTTATGGGCATGAACCCTGGATGTGGAATAAAGATGAAGCAATCTTAATACTAATACTCTTTGATATACACAACATGGAACATACAATATAATAATGAATACTAATTATTTATCGCAAAATATCAGTATTTGAGAAATTTAAAAATCTTTCATGTCAGTAAGTCTAACACATCTGTATATATGTGCTTCTCCAGTGACAGGTACAAGGTGTTTGTAGATTTATTTAATCTCTCAACATATCTGGTTCCCCGACACTGGATACCGAAGATGAACCCAATTATCCATAAGTTCCTTTACACAGCTGAATACTGTGACAGCTCTTACTTCAGCAGTGATGAATCCGATTAGAGTCATCCGCACAAGCTTATGAAGAACATTGATTTCTCAGTCTGCGGTCTTTATTGTCTATGCATTTTCATGACTGCAGACTCCTAATGTAATACATGTTTATACATATATATAGCATATATAGCAGTGTAGCACTGATTCAATCCTAAAAATAATTTTATTACCTCATGTTTGTGATGATATCAGACTCAACAGTAAGAAATTCAGTTACATTGTAACATTGTACCTAGTGTTTTCCTATTAGAGACAATGTCCCTGTGTTTACCTCAATGTAACCATTTAATGTAATAATTTTCTGTTTCATACCTTATAAGCTTGTAAACTTCAGCTATTTCAAATATTTTATGCAATAAAATGTGTCATTCTGTACAAAGATGTGTTCAATCAAAAAGTTTTGTAAATAGTAAATAAACTTTAGTCTTTTGACATACACTGTTTTGGAAACATTGTTTGTATTTGTTAGGACTCTTGGTGACCAAGGACAGAAATCTATCGGAAACTTACCTGCAGGGGGTTTATTGGGCAGTTTCTCCCGTAGCTCCCAGAAGTGAGAGAGGCTTGGGGAGCCTGGAGGCACCGGGATGGATCCAGCTCCTGGAGAACGCCATTCCCCAAACCTTGGAGGACCTCTGTCTCACCTCTTCTTCTCTGTCGGCGCTGGCCTCGCTCTGCCCTGTGGGCACCGGCTCCATCCTCAGGCTGTGTCCCTCTTCCTGCACCTCTGGACTCCCCCCAGCCCCAAGGCACGTGTCTGGCAGCCAGAGCCCACCCTAGCGCACCGCAGAATTGAGGTAGCGCGGAGTGTTCTTTCCAGAGGAAAGGAGAGGTGAACAGAGGAAGCAATGACCCGGTTCGTTCGGCATAAAATGGGTTAGATCAAGAGTTTAGATCACACAAGAGTTCCTTTCTTCTTTTTCTAGCTCAGTCTGTCAATGCCTAGTGAAATTCCTGTTATGAGGGGAGTACAAAATATTATCAAAGAAATCTGGAATGCGCAGCCAACTTGACCGAGGGTGCTTATCTACGGCAAGCAGTAGGTTCTTGATGGAAGTGAACTATTCTTTGGTCTCAATTACAATTTTCTTATAAGGATCATATTGTCTAGTTTGTCTCTACATTATTTACATATACTTGCTTTTGCCTCCATGGCGTGTGTGTGTGTGTGTGTGTGTGTGTGTGCAGGGACAGGTACATGGTACCAGATGGTGGTTAAGCTGAAAAATCCAGAGACAAGTAGCGAGGCCAATGACACTCCCTTTGAAATAAGTCAGCAAGTTTGAGATCAAATGCATCTATTAATTATCTACTTTGGTCCAAACCACCAGTTTAATCCCCAGTTTCCTCTCTATATATTGGGATAAAATACTTATAATCTTGGCTTTTTCTCAGGAAGTAATGAAGAAATATGTTACTGGATATTCCATCCATCAAGATGCCTGGAATAAATGCTATTTGTCAAGGCACATTCTTTTAATAGACTAAATGAATGATCTGATTTAGTTATTTTTATCTCTGTTTCTTGGTGTGACTAGGTTATACAGGTGTAGTTTTTTTCAAATGATGTATCACTAATTCTTACGTAAATGTCGAAACCACTCATAATGCCAGTTAGTACCCTTGCCCCATTTAAACTTGCTTCTAGTGCCTACGACCCACTTTCAATAATTCTTAAATGAATCATGAATCCCTGTAAGGCTAATTTAGTATTTACTCTGAGATCCCAGTGAAATCACATCCAGGAACATCTTGGCTATTTTCATTACGACTCCTAATTATTATGTAAGATTGCATTGCTCTCCTCTTGGCCTCACGGGCGAACGTCCAGCAGCTGGTCAGCGCGGGAGCACAGCACACGCCCACGTGGAACAGCAGATGGTGAGGCTGAGAAGGCAGGGAGGGGCCTCTTTGGGAAAAGCTCATTTAGAAAAGTTGATATGTTATCTTTTAGGCACCGTGAGCCCCTGAATGGGCTAAAACAGAGGGATAACATGAAAATGGTGTCTTTTAGAAATGTAAACCCCGGGGACACAGAGCAGATGGATTATCAATCCGTCCATCACAAACACCCGGGGGGCTGACGAAACAGTTTCCAAGTCCTCAGGTGGCTCCTGGTCTGGGGGCCGTACTCGAGAAGCCCCAGGCTGAGGGACAAGGGGTCTGGTGGGTCCACTCCTGAGCAGCGGGGGTCAGAGATGCTAAAGAACACGCATCGAGTGAAGGATGGAGAAAGGAAATGGAGAGCAGGTGGGTGATTAGGTGCTGGGTCCTCAGGTTTGGCTGACCTGATGGAACATCTAAGATTTCCCTCAATTTTATTGATTGGGTTATTACATGATGCTAATGCTGTTACCTGAAACAGAGACTCTAGGAGGTGTGGGAGTTTGTTGTTGTTTTTTAGGTTTTTCGTTCTGTTGTTTTGTTTTGTTGTTTTGAGGAGGGGAAGGAGATAGTTTGCAGACATGGAAGTTAAGATGTCTACGGAGAAAACCAAAAATTAAATATACGGGTTTGGAGCTGAGAAAACTCTTGTGTGAATGTGAACCACAGTAACACTGTGTTCACAAAATGTAAGCCATACACATGGACAGAGTCTTCTTAACCCAAAGTCAGATACAGGTTGTTTTATTATAAATGTTGTCAAAATCCAGAAGAGCCGAGAGGTATTCATCACTTTGTAATTCAGGAGGATATTTATCTTTGTAAAAGAGTATCAGAAAAGCGTTCATACGTTACAGGAATTAGTACATGAACACGAACTAGAACAATCAAGACACAAGTCCTTTCTGGCATAGCTGGATATTTAGAATATTAGTCAAACAGAATATCAACTTGTCATTTCTAAACCTGAGTCAACACATACTCTTTTGAAATTGCTTCCTGTTGGTGTAAGGAAAAGAAATGGTGTCTTGTTTTTGATTTTCTTCTAATAAGGAGAGTGATAAATAAAGGCCAACAGTGAGAGGAAAAATGGGATGTCTCAATTTTTTTCAGTGGTTATTGCCGCCTCTACAATTTTGCTTTTAAGATAGTCTACACTGGACCGCGACCGTGAATTTGAGAGAGGAGATACTTACATACTTAGTACCTGATACAATTTTGTCATTTAACTCACACAATACGATTCAATCAGAAGAGCAGCTTTCATGCTCTGAGGCTCTTACACGGCCAAGCATAATGACCCTGCGAAAGAGGAGATGGACCTCGAGGACCAGGGACCACGTGGAAAGCCAAAGGGATGCACGAAAAAGTAGTTAGGATGGAGTCTGGGAAAAATAAGCAGAAAATTGGGACAACAGAGGCTGGGAAACACATTTTGGCTGATACCCCAGATTAATGAGGTTGAATTTTGAAAGAGGTGGTGCGTCCAAATGATGGGCGGACAGACAGGTGAGGTCCTGATGCTGATAAAGGCTTAGAGACAACTGGAGCCGAATAAATGGCCCTAAATTGAAACGGAAAGTAAACAATGAGACTTCTTTCGCCAGGGAAGCCGCACCACCAGGAGGATTTAGAAGTTTCACGGCCAAGAGTAAGGGAAAGAGTGAGAAAATGTGAGAAGACACACCGCTCCTCAATCCGCAAGAACAAAGGAGGAGATAAAACCTACTGGAACCCTCCGGGCCGTGAAACCCCCAAATAATTTGTCTTCCAGGCAAGGCTACTTGAGATTTTCCTATCACTTGGTTGCCATATTGGTCATTTAGTTTCAATCAGGCTAGCTGTCTGCCTTAAAAAGTAACTTTGTCTCTTTGCTTCTTTCTACATGATCTGCTCAGGTCACGGGTCAGCACCATGTGCTGGGGAAGAGCAACTGGCCTTTCAACATTCCTTTGAAATTCCATCCTGGAGGGCTGGGAATACAACTGCGAGGGGCACACCTAGTTCTAGGCTGGCTGTTCTTGTATGCAGGGCAGCTTGGGCTGGTGATTTTATCCCATAAAGGAAAAGGGATTCTTATCACCTCTTTAATCCGATTGGAAATACGTCATTAAAAATAAAGAAACGGCAAACAGAAACAATGATCAAACAAACCAGACAATAGCCTTTTCAGAGTGAAGAGACCTAAAATATCTCCTAATCTGACCGTCCTCCCAGTAGGAAACTGTCCCACAGACTTCCTCCCAGGCCATGGTGCTGGTTTTCTTCCTTCTGACCTTGTCCATCTCTCTCTAAGAAGAGAACATTCTACAACTTATCAATAGTTTCAGCAGGACCAGGCCCTAGAGCCTGTCTTTTGTGGGTAGTTGCAAAAGCCTAAAGGTGAAAATGCCAAGAATGAAGTATCACATCTCATCATGAGCCTTCGGTTTTGTATCTGTCTCTTGATCTGGCGAACATATCACACGAATACAGCAGAAACAGATTCTGCAATACCTGAGAAAAAGGAAACGATCAGTACTACTCTATTTCCTCCTTATATGCCTTTTAAATAGCAAATTAAAACAATTTTCATTTGGGTTCGGGAAGAGTTAATATCTACTAAGAAAATCACTCACTGGTGATAGCTACCTGTCCATAGCGACATGGCAACCTCACACGCAGATATTAGACGAGATACCTAATGTTTTTATTTCAAGAAACTATTAAAAATCCCCAAACGACTTATGAACTGAACAGGTGAATGTATCTGAAATCTGTATCGCACTCATACATATTGCTTAGAGGCAATACGAGAATTTATAGGATTATTTTAAACACAATTTGAAAATTTAAATTCTAAGATTTGAACTTCAACAACATTTCAATAAATCACCAGCGTGCTCTGCGGTCGCAGATCAGAATGTCGTGGCGGAAGTGATCAAACATCCTATTTGAAGACTGGATTCCTCTGTGATTAGCTGTGTCTTTGAAATCTCTTGGGGCCACGGAATGCTACCCGCCTTCCGCAGCTGGTCGTGAGTAATGTGACCATCCCAGGGATGTAACTTTCAGGAAATACTCCCTTTCAGAAAGGATCTGGATTCCTGTATAATGACGAACCAGGCAGGCCTTGGAGACTTAAACTGGGAAACGGGTACAGGGCAAAGATGATCTCGACTCACCCTTTGTAGCTGGGGGCTGGGAAGAGGTGGGGATGCAGTGATGCTGAACCAGCATCCGGATCACGTCCTTGCAGCAACCCTGCCAGGGCTGTGAGAGCAGCCGCCCCTCAGCCCAGATGCAGGCCCCTCACTCCGCAGCTGGGGATAAACTGTGGGGGCAGCAGGGCTTCCAGGAGTGGCAGTGGCCCTTTATCTGCAGAGCCCCAGTGAAGCTGAAAGCAGAGGCCTGACAGGGGTGCTCGCGCTCTGGCTGAAAAGCTTCTGTGAGGCTGACTCTTGTTAATAAATAATTTATGAAAAATTGTTTACTGGGGTGATTGAACAGGCCATTTACTAAACTACACGGATGCTGCTCTGTGGAACGACTGAGCTGTCGTCGCTAGACTGAATCAAAATATAAGCTCTTAAATTTTTCCATAACTCTTTTTTTCTTTTTTCTTTTTTTTTTTTTTTGCGGTACGCAGGCCTCTCACTGTTGTGGCCTCTCCCGTTGCGGAGCACAGGCTCCGGACGCGCAGGCTCAGCGGCCATGGCTCACGGGCCCTGCCGCTCCGCGGCACGTGGGATCTTCCCGGACCGGGGCACAAACCCGCGTCCCCTGCATCGGCAGGCAGACTCTCAACCACTGTTCCACCAGGGAAGCCCATCCATAACTCTCTTTTATCATAAATATCACAACCTGGGGTGTTCTACAATTTTTAAAAAGTTGTATACATAGCATAGTTTGGGTCCAACTTGATTCAGAAAATATGCTGATTTTCTAGATCAAAAATTTTAGAACAGAATTTGAATATGGATTTTAGAATACGTTTAACATACTTAAATGACTATTTTAATTTGGTTTGTTGTTAATTAATAAAAAATGTTATTCAACAAAAGAGCATGTTTGGCATTCTTTTAAGCCTCTCAATTCCAGTGAGTAGAATTTTTTGCTAGAATTTTGTAGGTGACAAGGGGCATATTAAATCAGAAACAACCCTAATAGTCCGATTTTCACCCATTTTGATACAAAGAAAAAGTGATTCTTGATGATCCTAGAGAAGGTATTATAATACATAAAATAATGGAAAGTAATACAATCATAAAAAGTAAATTTGGAATTGGAGACATTTCTGGAAAAGCTCAGCCTCCTAAGAGGAGTTTTTTCTGGTTTTGGAAGTAGTTAACTTCGGTAAATTTTCGCCATGTCTTACAATGTTTTGCTCATTACACTGGCTTTCACTACAGCCCCTCTTCCTTTTAAAAACATGAATGTATACAGTAGTGTCTTTTTTAAAAAACACTGTTGTATTTTTATCAATTAGTTAAAGGATGACAATTCTTACGGTAAAAGTGATCTAAGTATCCTGGACGCACACTATGGACTGGATGGGCTATAATTTTAATCTATTCGAAGTCTCTCCCTTGACATTTAGCCTGGAGTTTTGAATATCAACTCACGACTCACCACAAATGTTTCCTCCCATTTTTACGTGGACACAGCCGTCTATGCCCCAGGAAGTTCCCCAGGAGTTCCTCACAATCCAGTACGGGGTACTTCCTAAAAAACATAAAACAAACCCTGGAGAACATATTTGTGGTGAAAGAATGTTTATTTAAAGTTCAGTTATTGAAAAGTACAGTGGCTCTAAGAAAAAGATAAAAAATGTAATGAACTGCTAACAAACCAGCCAAGTAAACTTGATCAGTACTAGTGTCACACGCCAATCAATGGAAAATGTGTTTAATTCATTTCACTTAATGCAATGGCTGCAAAAAATGAAAACACTCATCCTTTTCCAGGGACTTAGAAAAAGGAAAAGAAAGAAAAAACAGGATCCTTAGATAAGCATGATGAAATAATAAGCACTTCTCTTTCCCAGCAGTTACCCTAAACATTCCAGATGGAGAATGCCCATTACTTAGATCAGGAATTTAGTGTCATTTCAACAAGGCATCTACCAGATTGACAGTGGGACCCGCAGGGCGTGTATACCTGGAAGTTTAGTGAAAAGGTGTAAAGCTCATGAGGACTTAGACGTAATAGGACCAGGTTTCAGCGTCTTAAAGGATGGCAATCACTTGTCAAGCTGGAGTTCAAGCTGCAAAGCAATTGGTCACATCTCACCAGCACTCACCTGTTTTATCAAAGCCGGTTACCAGAACGGCGTGATTTGCTTCTCCGCTAGAGCAATGATGCTGTATGATGCCTCCCAGATAATCTTGCCAGCTCACGGCATCTACTACCACTATCAGAGGGCCCAAGGTAAACAGTGCTTTTGCCATTTCGTCTTCTTGGTCACTACCAAAAGAGGAAATGTTTGGTTAAGAAGTTTAGTTTTTCAGGTAAAAATACTTTATAAAAGTGATCTATTTAATCTGTATGTGGGTAGGAGTAGGTTTGGTTGCAATTATCAAGCCCTAATCGATGGAGGCTAAAAGAAGTCTGGAAGACTGGCCGTCCAGGAGGGCTGTGGGACACCAGGCTCCGGACGTGCAGGCTCAGCGGCCATGGCTCACGGGCCCAGCCGCTCTGCGGCATGTGGGATCCTCCCGGACCAGGGCACGAACCCGTGTCCCCTGCATCGGCAGGCGGACTCTCAACCGCTGCGCCACCAGGGAAGCCCGCCTCCACCTTTTATTTTTTCCATTTTATTTATTTATTTATTTTTGCTGCTCCGCGTGGCCCACGGAATCTTCCTGGACCAGGGATTGAACCCGTGCCCCCTGCAGTGGAAGCGGAGTCCTAACCGCTGGACTGCCAGGGGAGTCCCGCCACCTTTTAAAGGTAACAAAAGCTATACAGTAAATACAGGACATCAACGACACCTTACAGGGATGGTGTGAGGAAAGGAGAAGGGTGGGGGGGACAGAAGCTGTTCAGAACGTGGAGGGCAATGAGCGCTGTGGGCTGATGGAAACGATTTAGTTATCATCTCTGCTCGAGGCAGGACGAGGGAGGTTTCACAGCTGTTGGAAAACAGGAAATAGGAGTGCACGCCACGGTCTAGACCAGCAGGGAAAGGCTCCATTTAGCCCCAGAACTGCGGTCACTTGTCTTTCAGAGCAGTGTGGGCTGGAAACAAGTGAAAATATGCTCCAAACAGTATCTTTATTTCCATTTTTAGCCCAATATGGAACTACTATCAAATTATCAAACCTTGTTCCATGAGCTTACTAATAATTTTACACATCAGTAAGATACAAATCTCGCAGTCTTCAAAGAATTCTCCTAATCTTTACTGCCATCCAGACTTGGTGATTAAGGCGAGTCTTACCTGTTACAGACCCTGGGTAAGTGTGTCGGTTTGCACCTCAACCTCCCTAGAATTCAGTGTGGTATACTGCTTCCTAGTGTTTCAGTCTCTTGTTATATGTAGTAGGCTCTTTCCCTTTTTGTTTGTTTCACCCATAAATATTTTATTTTATTTAAAAAAATTTTTATTTTATATTGGAGCGTAGTTGATACATGTTGTGTTAGTTTCAGGTGTACAGCAAAGTGATTCAGTTATACCTATACGAGTATCCACTCTTTTTCAGATTCTTTTCCCTTTTAGGTTATTACAGAATACTGAGTAGGGTTCCCTGTGCTCTACAGTAGGTCCTTGTTGGTTATCCATTTTATATATAGTAGTGTGTGCATGTTAGTCCCAAACTCCTAATTTATCCCCCTGCCACCTGTCCCCTGGTAACCATAAATTTGTTTTCTATGTCTGTGAGTGTTCCTGTTTTGTAAATAAGTTTCTTTGTATCATTTATTAGAACCCACATCTAAGTGATATCATATGATGTTTGTCCCTTTTATTTAAATAGTAATGCTCATATCCTAGTTTGACTCCTGAGATGCTTCTCCTGAGGTCTGACGAGCAAAAATGCAGAACGCAGCCTGAGTATGAATGATCATTATGGCTTTTATGACTCAGTGTGGTTTTTTCTTTTAGATCTTTTTAGAGTCACCACAAGATTTCATGAAGTGTTTGGCTGGTAGCTGTGCCCTGGGCTGATGTTGTCTGAGACTACTCAAAAACTAAGAGAGCATGACCGTACAAATAGAGGTCGGGGAAAAAGCATGAGCTTCAGAGTTGGCCTGACATGAGCCCTAACCGGGCTCTGCGGCTCAGGTCCTCCTATGGAAGCCCAGGGCAGGGGCTTGCCCAGTGCCGGGTCACAGCAGACGCCTGAGGACCTTCCCACACCCTCCGGCCCTTACCCTGCGGTGTGGCCAGGCAGCCAGGGTCCCACTAGGAGACCCTGCAGCTCCTGCCTGAGGCCCTTCTCCCCTCAAGATCCTGGAAAGCAAGCCCATGTCCCACTGCTACCTCCGCTGCGCCCTCAGCTACTGAATCCTGGGAGGTGATGTGCGCCAACTGCGGCGGGACATCGTCCCTGACACACACATCCTGCCCTGCATCCCAGAGGCCCCCAGTAGGACTGAGGGCCGAGTTACCCTCAGGACTAATTTGCGTCCCGAGGACACACGGCTCTCCCCGCTCTGTCTCACGCCCTAGTCCCCTCCTGGCGCTTCCTGGGGTCACTTCCTACAAATCTGATGTTCTCTGTTCTGTCGTAGACTCTCCCAGCTCTATTCATGGCAACTCCATCCTTTCCGTCTTTCAGGGCAAAAATCCCGGAGTCCCCTGTGATGCTCTCCTATACAAACTCAGAAACATCCCTCAGTATACCCTGTGGGGCTTTAGTCTCCACCAGGTCTAAGGCCATTCTTGTAACACTGCTCAGGTTATCACTGACGACCTGTCACCTCATCACTTGCCCGTCTTGTTCTTCTCTCCGTGGCAGGCACACTGGCGTCCTTACTGCTCTTTAACTATGCCAGACCCATGTCTGCCTCAGGGCCTTTGCATGTACAGTTCCTTCTGCTGGGAGCACCGTTTCCCCAGGTATCTGCAGGGTTACGTCTTCACTCAAATGTCACCTCCTCAGGGACCCTCTCCCTGGGCTCCCGTCCCGAGACTGTACACCCCTCCCATGTCTCCTCTTCACCCCACTGCTGCTTTGTTCTCTTTAAAGCTATTTCATCTAACAGACCAGGCATACTTTTATTTCTTTCATTTATTTCTTGTCTCTATCACTAAAATATAGTCCTGAGGACAGGATTTTTGTCTGTTTTGTTCACTGCCAAATCCCCTGAACCTAAAACAGGGTTCAGTAAATATGTGAATAAATGAATAAATCAAAGGAAGTTCTTCTTGCAGAGTCTAACGCAGTGAGCTTGGCGCTGTGTTCTCAGAGTTAACTGTTCGCTCAATGTGAGGGATTTCACAAGGTCCTCTGCCTTCTAATCCAAGGGCTGGAGGAATCCTGCTTCAGGCCCCAAGCAGTCACCTTTGCATTCTCTCCCTCTCCCTCTCTCTCTGACTCAGATTAATGCCTATTATTCTTTTGTTTCTTCTTAACTTTTTCAGTCTGCTACTCATGACAAGGGAGGCCCTGAGTCCTTTCTAATGACACTCTGAAGATGCAGTTCCTTCGTGTGCAGACGCTTCCTTTAGACTCTCCAGGAGCTGACAGCTTAGAGACACACTTGCTTGTTTAGAAAGTGCGTGAACTTCACCCTCAAGGGAGGTGGGGACCGATGTGCTCAGCGACCCTGCCCGTTTATCGTGGATTCTGTGCAACCTCCCCTCGGGGCCTGAGGCCGCCTGGTGAGAGCCCCTCCCGCAGACGGGAGCCGGGGACCCTTGGCCGTCCTCGGACGCAAGGATGCTGGCGTAGTAGGGTTCCATTTTGCTCAAGGATCCAGATTCGCCTGTGATTTCTTTCGGATCCCATGGGGAGACTCCATCTGGACCCAGAGGTCCTTTTATATTTACTAAGTAGTAGGGCAATGTCACTTTAGCTGAATTGAGTTTAATCTTTCTGTTTTCTCTGTTTCGAAACGCTGTGACAAGCTCCCTTCATATTTTTAAAAAATGAAGCCAGGCGCTGCGTGGCTCTCCTCATCCCTGAGCACCTATTTTGCACTAAATCAAACGGTCGTAATGGTTCTCTAGCCGGCTCTGAGTTTTTCATGTGTTTTTAAAGAATTTTTAAATGATTATTTTCTCCTGAATCTGTCCAAAGTCACTGTACCCTTCCAGTCCCAACACAAGTCCTCTTCTCCGGCCTCCCCATTGCGCCTACAGGATGTGCTACGTCACCTGCTCTTCATATGCTCTGCCTACTTGCCTCTCACATGAAAACTGCACTTCATGTTTTTCTTACAGCTGATCACTTGAGAAATGCAAGGAACACAGAGTGCGTTCAAAAATGCTTCTTGGTAAGTAGACGGCTTGACATTAGCTGGAGTCTACACCGAGCAATCTTTTTCTTGATTCATGAGTAAGACTGAAATACGCTAAAGGTAAGTGTGAAACTTAAACTTGGTAGGAGGTGGTGAGTGTCAATTATACTTTAAACTGGATTTAAATGTGTTAATTTAAGTGTGTTGTTTCTATTTGTAATGACGTGGGAGAAAGCAGATCATACTTAAGAAGCAACGCACACAGACCTCCACGCTGATTACCAATCTTCAGTACAAAGTCCACTGTCAAACAATTAAGAGTAGGCAGCGATGCTGTCAATCAACTTCTTCATTCCAAATAATCAATAGATAATGAATTAAGAGATACAGAGGAAACCACAACAGAGGGAGACACTTACCGGAAGTCATAGGCAGAATAACCTTTGATTGAAAATCCAGAATGTGAGTCAGAGAAGTAACGGCACAGGCCATTCTGGGCTTTAAACGGGTATTCTGAATCTCTCACCAGCTTCACCTGCATCTAAAAGAGAATGCGCGCCCAAAGTGATCACTGTCACACGGTTGTGTCAGAGATCAAATAGAGCTTATTACCCTGTGGCAAAATAAGAGTAGCCTGGGCCACACCTTCACCGTGTGGGTACTCTTTGAGTTATGAACATCTTAAATGAACGCTTTAGGTGTTTTATAAGGACATCCTAGGTACTTAAACTCAATGTCTTTCTTTGTCTTTGGCTCCTGTATTTCCTGTGTTCCGTTTCCTGGGACCTCCGGTGATCTGATGATAAAGTCTGGCTCTCCTTCTCCCGAGGGTACAGGCTTGTACACCGCTCTCCTTCCACGGCTCTGGCTCTGGGTTGCCAAGCCTTTGAGGCTCAGGCAGGGCAGTGGTCCTGCGGTGTGCTCACAAGCATCCTTCCATCCACTTCTCTCGCTGCCATTCACTTGGCAAATGCCACACACCCGTACGGTTGTCGGGACCGAACCCTCCCTTTCGGAGAGCGGGGCTTATGCGAGCGCAGGCACGCGCTCTACCCACTGCTGCCCATAACATGTACAGAGCATCAGCGTCCGGTGTGCGGTGACTCAAAACACAGCAAATGAGTAAGAGGGGGGCCCTGGAGCTTGGGGAGCGCTGTCGTGACAAGCTTTCACAACACCTCATCGCTGGCTTCACGCCACTGCCGCTGGACCTAGGACAGCGTCAGAGGGTGTTTAGTGCTGGGGAAGCCTCTGGAGGGGGAGAGACAGGGCGCAGCCCCATGCCAGCTACTGACGCGCAACGTGGGCTCAGCCCTGCGCCTACAGAGAGCACCCAATCAGCTGACCGCTAATCCCCTGTAAACCTGAACACTCGGAAATTCTACGGAAATGAATACGCTCTCAGCTTTGAGTCATGTGACACACATCTGCAAAAAAAAAGCATCTGTTAAGTAATGTGAGGAAATAAACAAATATTTTTCTGAACACCGATTGCAGGTAAGATTTTTCATGCTTTGGTTTCTCTATTGATGGCTGACCTGCCCAGAAGCAATTCTTTTTTTTTTTTTTTGGGTTAAAAACTGAAATTGATTTTCACATGGTTCTGGACACTGGAAGTCCAAGGTCAAGGTGCTGGCGGGGTTAGCGTCTGAGGAGAGCTCTCTCCTTGCGCTGCAGACGGCCACCTTCTCACCGTGTCCTCACAGGGCAGACAGAGCTCCTGTCCTCCTCCGATACGGTCACAGTCCGATCGGGTTAGGGTCCAACCTTATGGCCTCATTTAACCCCCAGAGCCTCCTAAAGGCTCTGTTTCTGGATATGGTCACACTGGGAAGTCTTCTGATTAATTCAAGCTCGGTTAGCTCCATTGCCGACCTTGAAAACATTATTTAGTAAATGAGAGTAGACTGTCTGTGAATTCTGAATGCGCATTAAACAGGCAGCTTAAAAGGCTGTGGACCTAGTCACCTTATTGAGCCAGTTCAAAGCGTTGAGCGGGGACCCTCCGTTGCAGCCGTAGTTGCTGTATGAACAGTCTATGACCTGCTGGACACTCAGTGCCTCCAGAGGCTGCCCTTTTATGGCGCACGCGGACTCCACTGCTCCTACCACGGTGAAGGCCCAGCATCCACCGCACTGCCAGGGACAGAAACAGGGCAGTACTTACTATCAAATAACGTGCAAATCAAGCCTGCCAACATCTCTGATATCTCAGATGATCAAATCAAGTGAGCACAGTCTGGAGGCCCACAGAATACAAACGCTGATCCCGTCGACTTTCTAGTTGAAAAAAGGAAACGAAACCCAAAATTCTCTTGTAAGCATCAAAATCCAGTTACTCATTAAAGGTAAATTAGTAGTATCACTATTGCAGGTTAGACGATGCAAAATAAAAGTGAATTTTAGAGACTGGGAACACACTTGAACCGATGGTCTTTTTCAAAAACGAGTCTGCACAGACAGAGAGCAGACTGGTGGTTGCCAAGGCGGAGGGGATGGGGGAGGGAAGGATTGGGAGTTTGGGATTAGCAGACGCAGACTAGTATGTATATAGGATGGATGAACAACAAGGCCCTCCTGTACAGCACAGGGAACTATATTCAACATGCTGTGATAAACCATATGGAAAAGCGTGTGAAAAAGAATGTACATATGTATGCATAAGTGAGTCACTTTGCTGTACAGCAGAAATTAACACAACATTGTAAATCAACTATACTTCAGTAAAATACATTAAAAAAAATTAAAAAAACGAGCCAGTTCACTGAACAGGTGGCTTGCCTCTAAGGTGCGACCAACGCGCAGCCCGTTCTTCCATCCCTCTGCTCGGCCATCCCCGCCGCCGCCCCGCCCCTCCCCCCCACCCCCCCAGCTAGAAGGCAGGGATGAGGTGAGCAGGGGTGAGGATGCACATGCCTACATTGGTCCCTTTCACAGACGGACTCAGGAACTGGGTGAATGACTCTTCAGCCCATCACAGTTATGAACACAGGAAACGTCCCAATGATGGAGACCTCTACTGCTCGTTCCTCATTGAGATACTGGCTGACGATCTCCCTGAGTCTGGGTCTCTTAACTTCCCCTCACTGGACAAACTAGAGCAAAAGAATTAAAGGGCTGGTCCTACAAGAAAGGGAGGAGGTGGAAGGAAAGGATCAAGAATTTCATACCAGGAAGAACGGCAGGAAAGGCAGAGAGTGGGATTTGAAACTGGGCGGAACTGTCTTAATCCCAGGACCAGGTACTGCAGGCGAAGAAAGGACGCACAGCTGGTGGTGTTCGTGGAGGGAAGCTCTGAGCGATCTAATGGCCTCTAAGTGGCCTTATTTACACCTCTCGCTTCAGTGCCTGGGGCAGGGTACCGCATTCACTAGGGGACATTCCAGCAGGGTGCCCACCCCTTGAGAACTGTAAATGCAGGTCACCTTAGGTTACCCACCTACCACTGCCCCAGGGGGACAGTCCCTGCTCCAAAACATCTTTCCTTTAGTAAGAAGACTCCTAATTAAAAGTTCGCCTTGAATACAGCGTAAGCGCACCCTGGATGGACTGGGTTTCAGACTACATCACCCTTCATTACGAATCCAAAAATAAAGCTGATGCTTTGGTGGTAAAATGTAACCCACAACAATCAATACAGAACCTGAGAAAGCGAAAAGGGTCATCTTAACTAGATGGTGACCGGGGAACTGGTGGGTCCAAAGCGTCGGTCTTAGGAGAGGAGACTGAGTGACCCATTGAGGTTTCTACTGCAGACAAACTGGGGCCGCATCCCTGGGGTTAGGGACCAACTTTCCCAGGTCAGTGGACATCCCCGTGCCCAGCGGGGGTGCGGGGCAAGCGCATCTGCCCTCCAGCGTCTGCCGGAGAGATGGCTTGCCTCGTGAATGAGCATGCCTACCCACATCTGGGGTCCCGCTTTCCCTCTGATTCCAGGTGATCTTCACAGGCACACTCAGGACTTCTGCAAGGTAAATGGCTGCATTTTTAAAATTCGTTTTTGTTGAGTATAGTTGATTTACAATGATGTGTTAATTTCTGCTGTGCAGCAAATGACTCACTTATACATATGTATACTTTTTCATTTTCTTTTCCGTGATGGTTTATCACAGGACACTGAATATAGTTCCCTGTGCTGTACAGTAGGACCTCGTTGTTTATCCATTCTATATATGTACTAGTCTGCATCTGCTGACCCCAAACTCCCACTCCATCCCTCCCCCAGCCTCTCCAGCTTGGCAACCACAAGTCTGTTCTCTATGTCTGTGAGTCTGTTTCTGTTTCATAGATAAGCTCATTTGTGCCATATTTTAGATTCCACATGTAAGTGATATCACAGGGTGGTAAATGGTTGCATTTACTGCAGGACTTACACACTTCTTTATCATTTAACACACATGTTAAACCGCACTGCCACTTTTACTACTTCCCTGTCTTTTTTTAGTGTGTCACGAAGTTTTTAGCGCTGAGTCCTAACCTCATTTCTTCTATACTCCCTCTCATTTTCACTGCCTGATTTTGCAGAGTTGGTGATTTCTAGGAACGTCTATGTCACATTCCAGCAGAACTGACTGCACTTTTAAGGATCACAGGTACAAAGTGTGTGATCCTGTAGGGGTGGGGATGGAGGTAGGGTTTCTGAGGGAGTTCAGGGGATGAACCCAAGAGGCCAGGGCACATAGGGGGCCAGTGCCTGATGTCACGTCGTTTCCCTTTTTTTTTTTTTTTGCGGTACGCGGGCCTCTCACTGTTGTGGCCTCTCCCGTTGCGGAGCACAGGCTCCGGACGCGCAGGCTCAGCGGCCATGGCTCACAGACCCAGCCGCTCTGCGGCATGTGGGATCTTCCCGGACCGGGGCACGAACCCGTGTTCCCTGCACTGGCAGGTGGACTCTCAACCACTGTGCCACCAGGGAAGCCCACGTCGTTTCCCTTTTGAACGGCTCAAGCGTCAGTGGTCAAGTTCACCTCCTCCAGCCTTTCACCCGCTGTTCTGCAGAGGCCTGGGGACCGTGATAAGGGGGCTAGGCAGCCAGGGAGGGGCGCCCACAGAGCTCACCTCCAGAGTGAGAGCCCGGCCTGACATCCATCTCCCCTACCAGGGGTTCTCCTGGCCTTGCCATTTTTTGATGATTGGGGTGTCCTTCCACCTACAGCAGTGATGGCTCCTTTACAAGTTTGATCGAACTTGACCTCAAGAGTGACTCAGACACTGATCAAAAAGGAAAAGAAAACAAACGTACTGTCTGCTGGTTCCTCACTGGGGTGACGACGTGCTTGTCCCTCCAGTCAAATCTTAACGGCAAAGACACGTTGGAGATGGATGTGTGCGCGTCCGCCAGAAACCGGGGAAAACTGGAAGGTCTGCTTCGTAAATAAATAGCTGAGGATACACATGAGAAGAAAAGGCAACCAACATTATATTATAGGGATTCCTTTTGGAGGGACGTTTCAACAGAAACAGCGGAGTTTCTGATAAAGTCTGCCTTTTGTGCTTTTCCATACATGAAATGGATTAGCCGAAAGCTACAAAGATGAGAATCCCTCCAATAGGGCCGGGGCTGTCACATAAAATGACGTGTTTTATAGAAGCAGGTCAAAAAAAGATGAGTATAATTGACATCATTTGTTTGATCACAACCCATGGAACCATGGGTGTCTTGAATAGAAACAGCACAGAAAACTGGAGGAGAGATGAGGTATTAGACCTCAGAGCCACGTGGAAATGTCTATATTTACGGTATTTAGTTCTTAAGCAATAATTAGAAGAGAGTGAACATGGATTTATTTTTCTAACTGTCAGCACCAGATACGTGCTTGACACTTATTAAGCATTTAATAAATATTAAGTATTACTCAATTTACTAGCTTCACAATTGAACAATTCTCAAAAGTTAAGGAAACAAGTTAAAGCTGGGAAACTAATCAACTAGTAGCCCCATCGCACCGTACCTTTAAACTCTTCAGGGAACAAATAAGAAAACTGATTTATTCCATAGACGGCAGTGGAGTTTCCACCAGGAAATACAGAATTCAAGTATCGATGTCTATTAAGACTTTCCTAAAAGGAAAAAAAACCACACTCATTTGTATCATCCATGTTAACTTTCCAGAGCAAGCTGGATATAACTTACTTGGAGATAGCTTCAGATGCAAAAGTTAAAGCTTGATTTATTTCTTGCAGATCACGACGGAAGGTCATCTAAGATAATCAGATTAGTTTTATAAATGTTTTGTATTAAAAATATTATCTGATTTCAGGAGTAATTTTTGAAGCTGGGAAAGGAATGTCCCAGGAATTATAAATGGATAACCATTTATAATTCCTCTTTACTAAGCATGTTGAAAGCACTAAATATATGGTTATTTAATATAGTGGAAAAATAAAATAAATTGCAAATAAACACTAGACACTAGTGGGAATTGTCGCCAAAGAGCATTCATGTGATCCAACAGCTATGGATCTGGGAAGACTGTTTTCTTTATCTCCGTATTTCCCAGCACAGCTAATGAAGCACGAAAAAAGGAGTAAGTAACTAATGAATCAATAAATCTGATTCTCCTTGAGCTTTATAGAGGTCTCTGTTTCATTCTGGGTAAAAAGGCTTTGGGAAAGAGATGCAACCCTGGAACTGTCCCAGGAAGATCGCCTGGCTTGTCTTTCCAAAGGGAAAATCGGACCATTGTTGACAGATTTCCTCAGCTTTGAGTTTTGTGATAATAATCTTAGGCTTGTCTTTTGTATGAACACGCCTCCATTTCCTACTTCTAACCAGCTGTGTGGGATAAATAGAACTTCAGGAGACCCCACCATTTAGTAAGTGTCCAGCTCTAGCTATTCTGTACTTGCTTGTGCACTTACGTGTTTATTGCGTGTCTGTCCCATAAACCTATAAGCAAAATGAGGGCCAGGCTGGTCTGTCTTATTCGCTACTGTGTTTCCCTCACTGAGCGCACACCTGGCACACAACAGATGCTTAATTAATATTTGCTGTTGAATATATGCATAACTACGTTTTATATACGTCATGCCCTTGACGGTGCTAAGCTGCTTTTTCTTTTACATATGTATCTTTTTCAGATTCTTTCCCATATAGGTTATTACAAGATACTGAGTAGAGTTCCCTGTGCTGTACAGTAGGTCCTTGTTGGTTATCTATTTTATACCCAGTAGTGTGTATATGTTTATCCCAAACTCCTAATTTATCCTTTGCACCCCTTTCCTCTTTGGTAACCATAGTTTGTTTGTTCTCTATGTCTGTGGGCCTGTTTCTGTTTTGTAAGTAAGTTCATTTGCATCATTTTTTTAGATTCCACATACAAGCGATATCACACGGTATTTGTCTTTCTCTCTCTGACTTATTTCACCTAGCATGATAATCTCTAGGCCCATCCATGTTGCTGCAAATGGCATAAGCTGTTTGTTTTCAAGCAAATTATTCCTGGGGCTTTTCATAATCTTATTTTTTCCTTATTGAGCATATGCCTGGAGGGACTGTTAATCAATGAAATGATCACCAGTTACTGAGTTTTAGACATTTAAGGATAATCTTGATGAAGCAAGCCTCTGAATATAATTTGGAAAGGAGATGTAAAAATCTATCAACAGAACTGAAATGCACAGCAAGTGTGAGTAGAGGCCGTGTGACAAATCTAAGCCAGCGACTGCAAACTGTTGAGAAGTCCAGCGGCCTCCCTCGTCCTGTAAGCATCTACTGGCCACTGTTGCGAGCTGGAGGGATGAGCGAAGGCCTGAGAAGGTAGGACCTTTATGGATGTACAGGAAAGCCCGCTGCAGCCAGGAGGATGGGCCTCACAGGCCATCCACAGGGAGCTTACCCCCTGAATCTGAATTGCCAGGACTGCAGGGAGGGAGGCCCTGGTGCTCACAGGCTGCACCCAGGCCATGACTAAACACTCGGCCGGCCTACTGGGGAAGGGCCTCCACTGAAGACTGGTTTGGGATTTGTGTGTCCCCATGGCCTCCTACCCTCCCCTGGCCTGCAGGGCGTCTAGGGTACCCTGCCCTCACCCCTTCTCTCAGCTCAGAGATGCTGCAGACACTCTCCCTGACCCTCCCCGACTTCCTCTCTCAGTCCTGACTCCTGGGATAGAGAAAAGAAAGAAAGAGAAGACACACAAATCACCAATATCAGGAATGAAACAAGGGCCGCTAGAGACGCTTCAGGCACTAGAAGAATCATATTCTGACCACTTGAGGCCAATAAGTTTGACAACCTATGTGAAATGGACAAACTCTTTGGAAGACTCACATTACCAAATCTGGATACAAGAGAAACAGAAAACTTGAACAGCTTTTTATCAAGTAAAGGCATTGAATTCCTAACTGAAAATGACTCCGCAAAGAAAACTCCAGGCCGAGATGGCTTCATTGGTGAATTCTATACAATTAAAAAAGAAATACCAATAGCAACTGTGCGCACATTCTTTGAGAAAACAAAGGCGAAGGGAACTCTTTGCAACTGATTTTATAAGGCCAGTATAACCCTGACCCCAAACCAGACAAAAACGTCTCAAAGAAAGAGAAATACACACCAATAGCCCTCATGACTACAGATGTAAAATCCTTAAGAAAATATTAGCAAATCAAAGTCAACAATTTATAAGAAAGACAATACATCATGACCAAGTGAGGGCCATTAAAAAAGACTATGTTGGTTTAACATCTGAAAATCAATCAACATAATACACCATATTAATGGAATGAAAGAGGAAGGAAAACTATATGGTATTTTCAATAGACGCAGAAAAAGCACTTAATGATTCATAATCCTTTCACGATAGAAACTCTCAGCAGTGAATGAAAAGAAACTTCTTCAACCTGATGGAAAGAATCTATGAAGTGCCTATTTCAATCAGAGGCCAACTTCGAACAGAATCCATTTGTGTCTTATTTCCTACTGAATTAGTCAGAAAACCTAGACTATCTTGTTATACATGGTAGATGTTAAAGTACTGGATAAATGGATGGACAGATGAACGAATGACTGAATCAATTCTGACCCAAGATTTCAAGTTTCTGGTATATTTTCATTTTGGCAGTGTATGCGTGAAGCTAGAGCCATTAGAAGTTGCCACCCGAACCACAGTGTCTTACATCAATTTCACCTCTTAATGTTTCTGGTAGATAGAGATTGCGGTTTAAAGCACTCTGGATAAAGTTTATTTGGAGGAAATAATCCAGATCTTCAGGGGCTGTTTACAGCAAACATCTGTGGTTCATTCATTAGGATCATTCATTGTAAAATGACCTTCTATTTATATGTAAACAAACATGCCTCAAAGTACACATAATTCTATTTTTTAAAAACAGAGCATGTAATCATCAAGGCAAGAATTTTTAAGGTGGAGCTTCTGAAATTTTAAGCAAAATCACATGTGCATTGGCATACAAATACTTTTATGAGGTGAGAACATACAACTTTTATTGGTTCCCTTATTGGGTCTGTGGTCTCCCACAGGGGTCAGAAGAGCAGCTGCTCTGTGGTCAGACAGGGAGCCTCAGCAAATGTCAGTCCACACCTGGGCTGTAGCACAAAGAACAGGCTGAACCCAACGGCAGGGGCTTCCTGAGCACCAGAAGCTTCTAAGGAGTGAAAGGGCAGAGAGGCGGCTGCTGTCCCCCCCTTCTCCAGTCACTTATCCTATGAGGCATCCCATAATCATCCCAGGAGGAGCCTGGTCTTCACCCAACAATAACCAAGTGTGTACAAGTATCACAGGTGCCACCTGACTTCCGCTCAAGGAATATTCCCGGGGAACTTAGGAAACCCTGTAAGGCAGGGATAACAAAACCTTTCACCATGAACCCATGATGATGAAAAACATTACTAATCAATCAGATCCTTTCTCTAACTGCGTCAGCAGTTCCCTGAACACCTCTCCACTGTGTTTTGGGCAGCCGCTAGTCAGTCATCAATGCATCTGCAAACAAGAGGACACCTCTTTGCTCTCCCTAAATAATATACCAAGATCCAAAGACTACAGCTCCTGGTTCAACATTTGTCCACTTTTCACCCTAAAACCTCTCCATTCTCTCTAGCACAACACAGAGCACTTTATAACTCTATTTTAATTTTTAAACTTTTTTTTTCATTTTAAGTTGATTATGGAGCCAGGGAATTTTCTAGAATCTGTACATAATTTACCCCGATGGGTAAATAGAGAATCTCAACTTAACCAATTCCTAATTAGACATAATTTTATTTTAATTTTTAATTTTTATTTTTTTGCAGTACGCGGGCCTCTCACTGTTGTGGCCTCTCCCGTTGCGGAGCACAGGCTCTGGACGCGCAGGCTCAGCGGCCATGGCTCACGGGCCCAGCCGCTCCGCAGCATGTGGGATCCTCCCGGACCGGGGCACGAACCCGTGTCCCCTGCATCGGCAGGTGGACTCTCAACCACTGCGCCACCAGGGAAGCCCTGACATAATTTTAAAGAGATAAAGCTTTGCAGAGTTATACTGTCAGTTACAACACATTTTAATCCATCTTGCCAGGCCAGAGAGGTGCTTCCCAATGCTTGTGGGTACCCAGCAAGCAAGGCCCTTTCTATCTGCTCACGTCCAGCTCTGCCCCAGGTCCAAACAGCTGTTTAGGTTCAAACACAGTTTCCAGCAAGTGTGGACAGAAGCCCTCGTTGCTCTCCTTTCCGGGCCCCCATCTCAAGAACTAAACTCCCACTGGGAGCAATTGCTTTGAACATCTTTCAGGCTTTCTCAGCTCAAGGTTTTTAAACTTACCGAGAATCTTCCTCACTCTGCCCTTGTCTGCTTACAACTGTCTATCTCCTGGCATGCACCCTTGCAGAACCCGAGAGGAGCTGTATTTTCTAGACAGCATCTCCTGGGTATGGCCTCTAGTATGAGTAACTATACAATATGAGTGAATACATATATATTTATAAATTATATAAGTAACATAGGTTCAAAATACATATTCATTACTCTGGCCTCCTTGTGACTTCAATTCTCAATTTTTTTATTTTTGAGAAGTATGGCAGTGCTTTTATTTCTTCAGTCAATGAATACATTAGCGGTATGGGTGGGATTGATTTTTTTCCCCTAAGGTGTTAGTTCACCACCATATGCCTCCAAGCTCAGGGCAGGAATGGAATACAGGACAAAAACTTTGATCTTAAGCGATTATACCGGTGCTTCTGGTTTTGAAAGCTAGAGAAATAAATTGGTGATAAAAATACACATCTTGGTTTGGGCAAAAAACAAGAATGCACAGAATCAGGCAAGGCTGGCACTTCCTAAACACTGGAGGTCCAGGGAGATGAGAACGAGAAGTAGAAGAGAGCACCACTACAGAATCCCATGGAAAGCTCAAGAAAATACCAGCAAAATAAGAAATGCAATTCCACTAAGCAGCAGGATTACTGATTTCATACTTGCTTTTGATTAAGAAAGAAGGAATTTTCTTTGATAACTTAAAAAATGATAATGACCTCTCATGACCCCACACAGTTTCCCTGTGTCCCCAGCCCACGGCTCCCAGTATTGGATACATACTGAATAGAACACAGTGAGGTCAACTCTAAATCATTACCTCTTGCAGCTTGCTTGGTTTCAGGAAAAACCTTATTTATACTGAGCTAACTGGTGTGTTCCTGAGTTTTAATGCTGGCGTGCATCTGAGATTACTGAGCCTTTTCAAAATAATCTGAAAAGGAAATGAAATGCTTCCCCCTTCTCTAGATCGGTCTCCACCAAGTCAGCGGAACTTGCAGGGTGTGCGCTAGTCCAAGGGGCCCGCGTTCAGTTAAATCATAAACCGGCAGGATTCCCTGAGCTTGCTGAAGGCTGGCTCTGTGCGGATAAAATTCCGACTTCAGAAGGAGGTGGCCAGCGCCCCCTCCGGAAGATGGGCAGGTTTCTCCGCCTACTTCTGGTTCCCATCCTTGAAATGCAGTTTGGGAAGGCGGCGAGGACGCCCGGGGGCTCCAAAAGGGGGTGCGCCTTCCAATCAGGACCACCTTGGACGTAGCCAGTGGTCACCCGCAGCTGCACATCTTTCTTGGAGGACCCCGCTGTGGGTCAGCACGGTTCGCGCGCGTCACGCCAGCTCTGGAACGCAGGCGCGTCACCGGACTGCGCGCAGGCGACCCCGGGGGTGGCGCTCCGGTGGCGCCTCTGTCCCGGGACAGGAAGCCCAGGGGAACGCGAGGGTGCGCTCAGGTCCCCCTCCCCCGTCCCCGGGACAGGAAGCACAGGGGACGCCGGGGGTGCGCTCAGGTCCCCCTCCCCCGTCCCCGGGACAGGAAGCCCAGGGGACCCGGGGGTGCGTTCAGGTCCCCCTCCCCCTTCCGGGACAGGCAGGCGGGAAGGGCCCCCGGGGAGCGCGGTACCCGGAAGGCGGCGGGCGGGTTGCGGCCGCTCGGCGGGGCCGGGGCGGCGCCGGGACAGCAGCAGCAGCAGCAGAGCAGCCAGAGGCGCCGCAGCTCCATCGCGCGCTCCCTCTTCCGGTCGCGGGCTCCCGCAGCCGGCAGGTACGGAGCTTGGGGGCCGCGGGCGGGGCGCGGGGCTGAGACGGTTACGCCCCTTCTTCCCCGCCGCCCGGAAGTGGGCGTCCGGCGGCCGCGAAGCGCGGCTTCGCGCTGTGCTCGGCGGAGCGCCCGCCCGGGACCCCGTGCTCCGGCGTCGCCTCCCGCCTGCTAGAAGAGAGCCTGAGGGTGGGCTTTGCACGGGAGTGACAGTACGCGCTGTCGCGTGACCGCACTTGCTGCCTCAAGCCCCTTCGGCCTCCTCCTTCTATCTCGGATGGAAAGATGCAGGCAGCCGCGGAGTTTAATTTCACCGTCATCCTGTTTCTTCTGTGATGGGCTCTGACACTGGGAGCCTGATTCCGAAGTAATGTCTGCGAGTTTGCACGGAGACATTCATTCAGCAGGTGTTTATTCAATGCATATCAAAGCGCACGGCTGTGAAAATAGTGCACAATGTTTCGGTTTATTACAGTATGGCCGTTTCAAACTTTGGAAGCCAGTTTCTTCATTTGCACAGAAAGAAACGTAGCGTTTAATTCTTAAGTTTGTGGTCAAATTGTGTGTGTGTGTGTGTGTGTGTGTGTGTGTTATTTTAGACTGTTTTAATTCCTTTTTACAAGCCAGGTGCATTTTGTAGTTTCGGCTCATTTTGTAGTTCAGAAGAGTGGGGCTCCCCAGATGGTCCCCAAACTCCCCTCCCTGCAAGCGACAAACCCAGCCTGCGGCCACTTCCTGAAACCTGTGTCCCGGAACCACCAGGGTTGAGCCCACCTCTTATGAGACTCGTGGGTTTCTGGTTTTCCGTGCGGAGTGAGAACTCCAAGTAGGCACAGGGGAGAACGTTTTATCAGCATCCCTGCTAGGACCATCTTGGGGCCACGTCCTCATTCCCTAGGGCATCTCCCCGGAGGGAGCTCACCAAGTCAAAGCACAGCACGTGCCCATGTCTGTCTCTTGGGCAGTGGTGCTGCGAGGGTGCTCTGGAAGGATAGCTTTAGTTTTAATGGTACCTGGTTGAGGTTAGATTTTTGCCATCATTAGCATATTTATTTCCATTTCCCTCTTTGCTCTGCCAGACTCTGTTCCTTACACCATCCCTGATGCCCCAGGGCCTTTGCACAAGCGGGTCCCTCCTCCCATCACTGCCACCTCCTCCTTGGGGAAGCCCTCCTGATGCTCTCAGCCTGGGACGGGCTCTGGCAACAGAGGCCCCGGAACAGGCACTCCTGTGTAGCTGCATAGTTTCTCCTTTAAATGTGAGCTTGTCTTCACTCCCAGCTGGCCCCGATGACTGGGCAGGTGGTGATGGTGCAAGAGCTCCCTGAAGGTCTCCCTGGGAGCCTGGGCTCCCCACACACTTTCCCTGTGTCCCCAGCCCACGGCTCCCAGGCCAGACCAATGACGGTGAAACCTGCGCCATTCACTCAGCCACAGCTGAGACCACGTCCTCCTGGTGCACCTCCAGGCCAGGGGGGCTTCCCGGAGGAAAGGGCCTGCAGAACTGGGAGGCTGGGCAAAGGACTTAGTAGAGGCAAGAAAAGATGAAATGTTTAGGAGGTCCTGGGGGTTGGGGAGAATGTGGCAGAGAGGAGGGGCTACAAGCGGTCAGCCTCCCACCCTCTGCCAGCCTGGGTGGGAGGGTGTCCAGTACTGAAGGACAGACGAGGCCCCCCGCACCTCGGGCCAGGCTTCTGCACCCTCAGCGCTGGTGAAGGGGGTGAAGAGGCCCGGGGAGGGCAGGGGGGCTGAAAACTCAGTCTCTCTCCTCCCATTCCCGCCCTCAGCAATGACTACCTGTCCCACGAGGGGCCCCGCCAGACGCTGGCCATCAAGCAGGCGATGCGCTGGAAGTACACACCCATGGGGCGCGACGCTGCCGGTCCACAGTGGTACATGGGCCTGACCAGCTCGGACCCCCGAGAAGCCTGGAACACACTCCCTCAGGCGCTCTGGACAGCCCATACCTCGAGGCTTATGTCCACAAGCGCGGATGCCACAGCCCCCAGGAGCGCAGCATGCCCTCGGGTGAGTGCCCAGCCCCGCCCGCCCCGACACCAGGCCCTCCTCGAGGGGAGGGTGAGGCCCAGAGGTGCAGAGATGACCCCTGACCCCTACCCCGCAGCCTACACCCAGTGGCTCCGGGAGACGACTGCCTGGTAGATGGCATCATTCCCGGGCGGTACAGGGGCCCCCGCGCGCGGTAGGGAGCGTGATGTGAGAAGACAGATCCATGGGGCAAGGAGTACGGTGATCCTGGGCCAGGGTACGCGACCCAGGGGCTGGAGTGAGACCGCCCGGGGCCAGGAGGCGGGGCCAGCCGGTGACCCAGGTCCTGGCCCCCCAGTGATCCACAGGCACCAATTCGGAGAGGAGCCGCTGTGGCGCACGTCTGACTACGTGCTATACCTGTCAGCGCCCAGCGCCCGCGCTACACCACCCAGAACTACCGGCAGTGGGCACAGAACCCTGCTGCCCCTCCACGGGCCAGCAGCCCCCGCCCGTCTACACGGCCAGTCACGGATAAAGATCGCGCTGCCCGATGTGGCTCTTCGGGACCAGCGCCTCTCCCCCAAGGCGTCTGTCCACCTCTGGGGCCGGGACCTGGGGCCCTCAGGCAGCCAGGTGAAGGGAGCTCTGAACCAGGACCCTGGTGACCAAGCTCCAGGCCAGAGTCAGACAGACGAGCTCTCCTGCCCTTGGCCCCCCTACGCCGGGCCGCAGGCCAAGGCACAGTCCTGGCCCCGGGTGGCCTGGGCACAGGGAGCCGCACTCGGGCTGCCTGCCCGGCATGCTGAGCCTCACCATCGCCAGGGCCAGGGTCTGGGCCCAGCCCCTAACCCCGAGGCTGGGCTCCTGGCAGGCTCAGCAATGGCTCTGTCCTCCAGGGCTGGCGGCACCCGGGAGACCCTAGGCTGGCCGGGGCTGAGCTCGGGGCAGGCCCTGTGCCCAGGAGCCTCACATCCGGCCGTGTGGCCAAGTTTAAATAAAGTATATCATCACACAAAGGCACTTTGTACGTGCCTGGCACGTCTTAAGCACTCAGTATTAGGTATTTATTTTATGTTTAAGTAGCTTTTCCCCTCCTTTGGTTATCGTTACACTGCTTTCCACCTGCTCAGCTTAGTTCATAGTCACCCAGTTCTTCGTGCTTTCTTCTCCTTGTTTTTAATTTTTTTCAGATCATTTCACTTCATATTAACCTAATCCTAGAGAATGGACCACAGAAGGAGCAGAAGTAGTGTTCAAATAAGTTAACATCCCATTCCAGCAGCATCTCAGGTTAAGGATTTTCTGGTGAAGGTGGGGGCCACTTTAAGGATGAAAGCAGCTCTTTTGCCCCTTTTTCCTATTTATACATTTCTGTCCCCCTCTAACCTTAAAAGAATAATTATAGGAATGAGACCACTAGGCAGTTTAACCTAACTTCTGACTTATGGGCTCCTGAATGCACACCATGCCTTGCTAACCTGTTGATTTGTTTCCTAGATAAAAAGAAGGAAGAAGGAAGAATTCAGCAAGTAAAGAATGGCTATCTCTCTACCCCCAAGGCCCCTTAACAATCCTGCAGGCAGATTAGGCGGAGGAGATAACATCTGAAGAAGGAGTCAGCCAGCCTGCACGCTCTCCTGCCTCCGTGATTCACTGAGATTCTTCCCCCCATTTTCCCCTTTAAACACTGTCCTGGCTGAGCAGAATCTTGGGCGTTGGTGTTAGGACATGAGTCCACCTTCTCCCCAGATTGCCGCCCTTTCTGATTGAAGCACCTTTCCTTTCTATTCACACTTGCCTCTCAAATTATTGGCTTTTGAGTGGTGAGCAACTGAACCCAAGTTTGGTAACAAGGAGACCAGGCCACTTCCAATGTCCATTGTCTTTCAGAAGAACACAGATTTGTTTCTCCAATTTAAAGTGCACAGTGAGTGCAAATTCCTGTGCAGTAGTTCTGGAGTGGGCCCTGATTATGCTTTTCTAACCATCTCCCAGGGCTGTTGCTGCTGGTAGCAGAGGCCACACTTAGAAGGGCAAGCAGTACACCAAGGCTGCTGCTGTTTCTGCACTCCCTTCACTCAGCAGGGAAATGAAGGAGGGCTGAGGTGTCTCCCTCAGAGAAAATTCATATTCCTTTCTGGTCATTGCATCTCTGCTCATTTCCTCCGACAGTGAGTATCAGTGAGTAATATTGTCGTCTCTGGCCTCAGGGCAGCTATGTGATTTGCAGCTTCCCGTGTAAACTGAGAATGGAGGCCCCCTATTCACACGTTATTAAGAATTTCAGGATGGCAACAAGTGCTGAGTCTCTCTGAGCACAGGGTCCTGTGTGGTTCCCCGTGCCACATGCCCACACAGGCAGCTTACTAGGCCTTTCTACTCTAATCTTTTCTAAACAAGGCTTCCAGGAGTCTTCGGAATTGATGTCAAGGTCAGCCCTCTTAGACTTTTTAGAACCACCATCTGGTGTACATCTTTCGTTTTTGCCTAGGTACGGTGAGTCATACTATTCTCTGATGGAAAATTGATAATACAGATAATGTACACCTGTTCTGGGTATTAGGAATAAAGACATGAAAGTTTTTTCTATGCATGTATGATAAGACGATTGCTCTCGGAATGTAGGGGGTAAAGGTTTAATTTAAACAGCGAGCTCACAGGTCAATGTTCATATGAACTCTGGCTGTTCTTTTGCAACAAGCCCTCTCCTGTAAGTCACTCAAGCTAATATATATATTGCAATATATATATATATATATGTTTGCAATGCAAACTTCTGCTAAAAAATATATATATATATATTTTTTTTTAGCAGAAGTTTGCATTCAGATCATAGCTACTGTTTATTGACAACCTACTGAGTCAGAACATTTAAATACAGGCAGCCACCTTACCCCAGGAAAACTGGTTCAGTAAAAAAGCCATTTAAACTAAATTTATTTCCTAAGCTCACGTCAACAATCGTGTATTGAGCACCTATTAAGTGCCAGACATTCTGGTTAATAAGGATCTGTCAGTAAGTAAGTGACTGAAGAGACAAAAATCCCCACCCTCGTGGAGCTGGCCTCCAGGGAGGAAGGGTACACACAAGTTAGTAAAAGTGTTACAAGGCAATAAAACAGGATACAGAGGGTCAGGAGTGAGTGGTGGGGCTGCAATTTTCAGTAAGGTGCTTGGGAGGAAACTCTCTGGGGAAGAGACATCTGAGCAGACCTGAAGGAGGTGAAGTGAGATGCCCAAGTGTCTGGGAGAGAGAAACTAAGATGGAAAGAATAGTTAACGCTGAGGCCTTGAGGTGGGAGTGTGCCTGGCATGGTCCAGAAGCATTGAAGACGTCCGTGCGGTGGAGAGGAGAGAACGCGGGGAGTGCAGAAGCAGCGCTCAGACTGTGTATTTCTCTGCAGGTTAAAGGGGAATCAAAATTATTTATTAAGTAGTTATTAGAAAGGGATTTGAAAAAGCTTTTATCTTGAAAATTGAAGGTTGCACGTTCCTGCTAATTTTTAGAATAAACACCATCAATTTCATCTATGTGGGAGGTGTAATTCTTCTCATTAAACTGGCAGAATAACACACTGGGCTTCCTTTGCTTCTGTGTTGCTTCTGGTTGTTTGTTGCTACATAACAATAACCCCCAAACTTAGTAGCTTAAAGTACTAACCTTTATGATCTCACACAGTGTCTGTGGGGCAGGCATCTAGGAGCGAACTAGCTGGGTGATTCTGGCTCAGGCTCTCTCACGGGGTTGCAGGTGTCAATGAAAGCTGTTGCCGCCATATCAGTAAACAAAGGATGTTGCAGCCATCGAGCCATCACGTTACAGCCGCCTGGATGGTGAGCCCTGAGGGACTCAGGATGGAAACGGGATGCCCGCCATCTAGCCCTCAGCCACCGCAGCCACCTTGCAGTGATGGGGAGACTTGCCCCAGGGAGCTGAGGTGGGCATCAAAGGAACAATTTCAGTGAGCCCAGATTTTGCATCTTTCCACACACCGAAAAGCTCTAACTTCCTTAACTTGAGATGTCTGGTTTTCTTTACTTAACAGTAATCTTTTGATGTTCCGACTACCTGGTCTTTGTAGCAAAAACTCCTCTATATCCTGGCTCCCCCCTTGCCTCTTTGAAACAGTCCCTCCGAGCCATCTGAGAGGCTGCGTCCCGGGCTTAAGTCCTCAGAATGTCTGCCAAGTAACACATAATTCTCACGTTTAGTTTGTGCCTTTTTTTCAGCTGACACAGACAAGCTGTTGAAAGCAGCTGTGGTCATCTGGAGGTCTCACGGGGTTGGGGGATTCGATTTCAAGCTCACATGGCTGTTGGCAGGGGTCCTCAGAGGTCCTCAGGCTTCTGGATGAAGGCCTCCGGTCCCTACCCCCTGGGCCCCCCCAAGGGCTCCATGGGGCCTGCAAGCTGGCTTCCTCAAGAGTGAGCCATTCCAGGGGTGGGGAGAACAGGCCAGGGAAGGACCGGGGTGAGGCCACAGTGTCTCCCATGACCTAACCTTGAAGTTGCACAGCACCCTTCTGCGCTGAGTTACACAGACCAAGCCTGGTCTAGGGTGGGTGGAGGGGATGATACAGGCTGTGAACACCAGGAGCTGGACCCATCGGTGCGTCTGGGAAAACAGATCCCACAGCCTCACGTCGACACTAGCAGCGCACGCGGTCATTTGTGTGTGCGTGAGAACAATCCAGCGTTTCCACTGTTTTCACAAATGCTTCTCAACCTCTGTGGTATTCAGATCATTATTTGTTATTGTTTCTATCTTGTCATAAACCTTCTGGGTTTTCTTCAGTTTATAATCATTTTACTTTATTTTAAAATGACTTTGCTAATGCAGCATTATTCATAATAGCCAAGACACAGAAGCAACCTAAGTGTCCATCGACAGATGAATGGATAAACAAGATGTGGTACATATATACAATGGAATATCACTCAGCCATAAAAAGGGATGAAATAATGCCATTTGCAGCAACATGGGTGGACCTAGAGATTGTCATACTAAGTGAAGTAAGTCGGACAGAGAAAGACAAATACCATATGATATCACTTACATGTGGAATCTAAAATATGACACAAATGAATTTATCTATGAAAGAGAAACAGGCTCACAAACATTGAAAACAGACTTGTGGTTGCCAAGGGGGAGGGAGTGAGGGAGGGATGGATTGGGAGTTTGGGATTAACAGATACAAACTATTGTATATAGGATGGATAAATAACAAGTTCCTACTGTAGAGCACAGGGAACTATATTCAATATCCTGTAATAAACGGTCATGGAAAAGAAGAAAAATATATTATTTATCTGATAAAAAAGAAATATTAAAAAGAATGTATATACTTGTATAACTGGTTCACTTTCTGTACAGTAGAAATGAACCCCACATTGTAAATCAGCTAAACTCCAATTAAAAAAATAAATAAAATGACTTTGCTATGGAGTTATTTTGTTTGTTTTTATTTTTACTTTAATGAACACCCATGCTTAAGATTTTCTAAGCATTGTTCTAAGTACTTTGCAAATATTACCTTTATTCAATCCTCATAACAAATCCTTGTAGGAGATGGGGTTGTAATTTTTCCATTGTGCACATGGGAACCTGAGACACAGAAAAGTAGAGGTACTTGCTCAATGTTGTGTATCTGATAACTGGCCCATCCGAGTCGGGGGAGCCCGGCTCTAGTCTCTGCTCTGCAGCCTTTTCACTTCTTCATCCCCATCTTTATTTGCTTTATGAAATTCTGCATCTTCTTAAGAGATGCATTATTAATTCCTTATCAAGGAACACTATAATTGCAAGAGATATTGGAAACTTTAATCAGCTAATGATAGTCAAATAATCGGACACATAAGCCGAGGAAACTGCTCATGTTAAACTAGGGATGATATTTGAATGGATGTTAATTTTATAAGAGAGTAGTACTTTAGTGATGTTTTGCATGATATGTGGAATTTTGTATCCCTATACAACCTCATGACTGCAGGGTCTCAGATAATGACTATACTGATATGAGAAGGAACCTTATCCATGACCTCTGATCCTCACAACACCTCCGCAAGGTAGGAATTCTCACCTTCACTCAACAAATGACTTGTATGGTGACTAAGGAAATTATTTAAGATCATAAGTAGTCAGTGGTTGCGAAGAGATGTAAATTGAGCTGTCGGATTTCAGAGTCCAGCCTGCCCTCAGTTACACCAAGGAACCTCTGTGCTTGTTTCTTCTTATTATTTATTTAGTGTTGGCTTTTCTTTATTAATAATACCTTCTTTAGTCCACTACGAGCTTTTTGTGTTCTGGTATGATTACAGGAAAGCGTGACACTCATTAATGTGCTTGAGTCGTTGAAGAGCTGTTTTTTTTCTTTTTAATTTTTCTCTCTATATTATGGGAGGGATCTTATTCCTCCAGGCAATTAATTAGCTAGTGTCTGGATTAAAATATTTTATTTTCTTTGGTCTTGGATTTCACACTGAAATTTTCATTAATGCCACAAAATCCCCCCTCCCCACAAGCATTCCCTTCTGTTATTGTTATTGCTAATTGGGTTCATAAAGGCATTGAAGTTGTCTTGACTTTTTGCATTGTTTACATTTCATAGGAACTACCTAAATCCTGAGTGAGAAAATAAGTTACATAAATTTCTAGGTATGAGAATTTCAAATTTCCTTTAAGGCCAAAGAGAAGAAATGCTGTCTGAACAGCCACTGCTGATGGGCAGGATTTGTTAAGCTTTAGAAGTAGTTCATTCCATTTTCTCAGCCGGAGGGGAAGCTGCCACAGGAGCTGCTAAGACTGCGGTAAAACAAAAGGCAAGGTGGTAACTCCACCCACCAGCTTCTAACCAAGAGGGAAAATGTCATTAATGAAAAGCCCTGATGTATACCTCCTTTCTCCAAACAATTAATGGAAAAAATGCCCCAAGAAATGCCTGAAACCATGAGTGGTTTCCATAGAAACCTCAATCCATTTCTATTCTGCCGACATTTGAATGAATGTGAGCAGAAGATAGCACTAGCTCTGCTGCATGGCATGCGCTGTGGTGACAGCTAATGGGTTTATCTTAGAACCATTAGTAACTGCTTGTAGCAAAACAGTAGCAGTTCTCTCCTCATAGACTTAGATTATTCCATCGTCTTAAGTATTTCAGAAATATCTGGGACTTGTAGGTATAAACAATACATTTCACAAGACAATAATATTTTGCAGGACCCTAAAACTCCCTTTCTCTCTCACGCAATCATTTTAAATAGCGGAACTGTGTCCTTTGCATGATCTAAGAAAATAATTCTAGTATCCTTTATTCTCAGGACGTCATTAGTACTAATGTACAACCTTTTTAATACCTCTCCATTTCCTGGGGTTAGATGGAGCCTGAAATGATTACATGCCTTTTAACTTCTATTGTCTATGCAAAAATCACATTATCCCAAACAGGAGATGTAAGAAAAGCAAGACTCACAGGGAGGGACACACACACACACACACACACACACACACACACACACAAAACAGTCTTCAGGTGGATTTTGCATAAATGAGGCTGACTCATCCTGACTATAATCTAGCCTTACACTCAACAATCACAAAAAATATCTATAACACAGGAAGCATACAAAAAAGAAAGCTACTTGCAGCTGAACTACAGGGGCAGTTAGCTGCAGAAAGATTCAGTTTCATTGTTTTGAAGGATTACTTGGTTTAAATGATTTTTATTGATCACTCATTTTTACAAATTAATAAACTTGACTTTTAGAGCAATTTTAGGTTTGCAGCAAGATTGAACAACGAGAACAGTGAATTTCCGTATACTTGTTGTCCCTACACGTGTACGACCTCTCCCACCATCAACATCCCCACCAGATGGTACATCTGTCACAATCAACGGCCTACATTAGCTCATCACTCTTCTCCACTGGGGTTCACTCTTGGTATTGAATATTCTATGGGTTTTGATGAATGTATAATGATATATATCCACCATTATAGAATCATACAGAGTAGTTTTTGTTTGTTTGTTTGTTTGTTTGCGGTACGCGGGCCTCTCACTGTTGTGGCCTCTCCCGTCGCGGAGCACAAGCTCCGGACGCGCAGGCTCAGTGGCCGTGGCTCACGGGCCCAGCCACTCCGCGGCATGTGAGATCTTCCCAGACCGGGGCACGAACCCGTGTCCCCTGCATCGGCAGGCGGACTCTCAACCACTGTGCCACCAGGGAAGCCCCATACAGAGTAGTTTTACTGCCCTAAACATGCTCTGTGCTCCTATTCATCCCTCCAGACAGCTGACCCCTGTCAATCACCAATCATTTTACATTCTCCATAGTTTTGCCTTTTCCAGAATGTCATATAGTTGGAACCATACAGTATGTAACCTTTTCAAATTGGCTTAAATTTCTCTTCCTAATATGCATTTACGTTTCCTCCATATCCTTTCATGGTCTAATAGCTCATTTCGTTTTAGTGCTAAATAATATTCCATTGGTTGTGTATACCACAGTTTATTCACCTACTGAAGGACTTCTTGGTTGCTTCCAAGTTTTGGCAATTGTCCCTAAAGCTTCTATAAACATCCATGTGCAGGTTTTTTGTGAACATAAGTTTTCAATTTCATTTGAATAAATACTAGAAAGGGCCATTGCTGTATCCTATGGTAAGAGTATATTTAGTTTCGTAAGAAATTGTCAAACTGTCTTTCAAAGTGTCTGTACCATTTTGCATTCCCACCATTAGTGTATAAGAGTTTCTGTTGCTCTACATCCTTGACAGCATTTACGGATGTCAGTGTTTTGGATTTTGGCCATTTTTATATGTTACTTGCCATCTATCTATCTTCTTTGGTGAGGGGTCTGTTAAGACCTTTGGCCCATTTTCTATCTGGGTTGTTTATACGCTTATTGTTGAGTATATTTTAGGATTTTTATAGTTTGTTTTTTACATTCAGGTTTCTATCTATTTTGTGAAAGGTGTAAGGGCTGTGTCTAGATTCATTATTTTATGTGACTGTCCAGCTGTTCCAGCACCATTGGTTGCAGAGATGGTCTTTGCTCCATTGTATTGCCTTTGCTTATTCATCAGAGATCAGTTGGCTATATTTATATGGATCTATTTCTGAGGTTTCTATTTTGTTCCATTAAACCCCAATGTCTTGATTACTGTAACTTTATATTAAGCCTTGAAGTTGGGTAGTGTTGGTCTTCTGACTTTTCTCCTTTAATAATCAAGGCGGCTCTTCTGAGTCTTTTGCTTCTCCATATAAAATTTAGAATCACTTTGTCAATATACACAAAATAACTTGCTGGGACTTTGATTGGGGTTCTGTTGAATTCACAGATCAAATTGGGAAGAACTGACATCGTGACAATATTAGGTCTTTCCATCCATGAACATGGAATATCTTCCCATTTATTTAGTTCTTTTTTGATATCTTTCATCAGAGTTTTGTAGTTTTCCTCATACAAATTTTGTACATATTTCATTGAATTTGTTCCTAAGTATTTTACTTTGGGGGGTGCTAATGTAAATGATATTATGTTTTCAATTTCATGTTCCACTTGTTCATTGCTGCTATATAGAAAAGAGACTGACTTTACTATATTAACCTTATATCTTGCAACCTTGCTATGATCACTTACTAGTTCCAGGAGATTTGTTGATTCTTTCAGATTTTCTACATTGATGAATCTGTCATCTGTGAACAAAGGCAGTTTATGGCTTCCATTTCAATCTGCATAGCTTTCCTTTTCTTTTCTTGTCTTATTGCATTAGCTAGGACTTCAGTTATGATGTTGAAAAGCAGTGCTGAGAAGGAGTCTACTTACCTTGTTCCTGATGGTCACCATTTTTAATACCATATTTGTGCACTATAGTCTTTAAGGTAA